TAACATTTGTAGATGTAACCTATAACACCAAATCCTCACTTTTTAAGTTCCGTTCCCCTTTAAGTTAACCGCTTGCTGTCCGGAGCTATTTCTTACTATTTGTACACACATGATAAAATCTCAATTATTGGCCAGAAACAGCTTCAGACCCCCCAAACAATTATATATTTTCGGAAAGCAGAGGCTCTGTAGAATAAAAAGACGCTAGTTGCAAATGTGTATGTCGCGCGGTATTTGCGCAAATGTTTATCAAACCAGTATTTTTAGGATAAAATACACTAAAATTAAATTTAGTGCACAGAAACAGAATATAATACCCAATCTATTTGGTAAAATATAAAAGATGGGTAAATGGATACCAAACATGTCAAGCCTTAAAATTTTGTGCGTTCACGAAACCGCAAAAAAACTACAGTAACCAACATTTCCCATAGGTGACGCTTTAAACGCTGTTACGGCTCATCAATCTAGTGCTAACAGTGATTAATGGGCCTAGAATTATTGCTCGCACTCCCACGCTCCTGACAATATATAACATGTGTGGCGCAATTTTCGTTTTTGCACGTAGGCGCATCCAACGCTTGTTTGCGTTGTATGTGCATGCACATGGGGGGCTTTAAAAAACTTTTTTGCATAGCCGGCTGTTTAAAATGGTAGCAAGAGCACAGCTGCAGCAGTATAACCACTTCCAGCGGAGGACGCACATTTACATGAACCCGCTCGAAGTGGTTAAATATCTATTACAACAACAAAAAATCAAGGCAACTGGACTTGATGTATTTTTGTCTTGAAGACGTTTCGCTGGTCATCTGACCGGCTTTCTCAAATCATTATGAACTCCGAAAGCTGGTCGGACGACCAGCGAAACGTCTTCAAGACAAAAATACAGCAAGTCCAGTTGCCTTGATTTTTTTTTTTTTTTACAGCTATAACATGACCTGGATGAATGAGAACCTTCACAGGGAGCCACTTTAAATGAAAGCAATGCTAGTCGCCTGGCTGACATGTAGACGCCACCTTTAACCCCTCCTGAGCCACTGACCCCGAATACTTCCGATGGAGATCAGCAGCCTCGTTCCATGCCATTCTCTCATGACAGGTGCTCTTCGGGACACAGTCACTGTGGCAACATTTGTAATGAAAGCCAGTCCGCCATGACGTAGTGTTGGAAGATTAGGAGTTTATTTGCAAAGAACACATTTCCAGAACACTCAAAATGGAATAACCAGGTTACAGGAAATAAAACTGTGATGGACGAATATTATTGTTCCTCTCTTCTACTACAAAAGGTTACATACGTGGCACCAGGGCTGGACCAATCCCAGAAGCCAGGACGCCAGGGTTACTACAAATCATAGGAATACTGCTGGCACCTTGGCGTAGCTTCCACTGTGGTTAATGGGTGCACAGCTGCACGTGTCGGCCCACCCAAAACTGATATTTTAGCAATTAGTGGATGTGAAGGGGTTAAAGAAGAACGGGGCCACCCTGGCACTGAAAGGGTTCAGTGCTGGTTTTGTCTAGGGGGGTACAAATAAAGCAGATATCGCCTGCACCGCAACGCATGGTAAATCAATGCCTGCGTTCCGGAGCGTTCAGAAAAAATAGTGCATGTAAATGGAGTTCCCTGACTGCCCCCTCCCCCACTACAGCGTCTTCACCGTCCCACCGTCTGAACTGCGGTCCGCAAGTGTCAAAAACATCGCGCGTAGCTGCGTGTGGCGGGCCCTCTCCTTTCTCTCTGGGCTCCCCCCCAACTGGCCAAACACCAGGGCCCGGTTGCAAATGTGACCGCTGCGACCCCGGTCATTTTGCCTGGGCGTAGTATCGGAGTACTCATGAAAATGCCCAGTATTGGCACTGGTGCGTCCCTACTTCATAATATAATGTATTGCTGGGACTTGTAGTCCTGAATAGCGGGTGCTATATCTGCATTGTATAATGATTACACAGCAATGCAGAATACCACCAGCTATGCCGGACTACAAGTCCCAGCAATACATTATAATGTAAATAGTAATAATAACAGCTTCTTACCCCCCCCTTCCCCTCCCCCCACACACACTGGCCTTACCTGACTCCAGAAGAGACTATGGGGACCGGAGGATCAGGTGTTCAGTCTAAGGGGCTCAAAGAAAGCAGATTTGCTCACCTGATCCTCAGTCCCGTGGTGGTTGGCACTCACCTCTCTCCCTCTCTGCTATGGAATGAAACGGAGCCCAGAACAGAAGAGGCTACAGAGAGCTGAGGACCAGATGAGTATATGATATATATATATATATATATACAGTATATGATGTCATCACGTCAGGTCCATTGACTTGCATTAGATGTGAGGACGTCAAGGGACATTCCAAAGCCAGAGTAGAGTGGGAGGAAGGTGAGTGGTGACTGCCACGGGACCGAGGATCAGGCGAGTATATCTGCTTTCTTTGAGCCCCCTGGACTGATCCTCAGTGCTAAACCGGTCCCCACAGCCTCTTCTGTTTTGGGCTCCGGTGGTCTGAGGACCACTGACATCATCACATCTTATACAGGTCCACTGACTTGCATTAGATGTGAGGACCGCATTCCCTAGATGAAGCGGAGGTGGAGAGTGGTGAGAGCGGACCACTGTGGGACTGGGGATCAGATGGGTATATCTGAGACGGGACCGAGGATCAGATAGGTATATCTCAGACGGGACCAAGGATCAGATGAGTATATCTCAGACGGGACCAAGGATCAGATGGGTATATCTCAGACGGGACCAAGGATCAGATGAGTATATCTCAGACGGGACCAAGGATCAGATGGGTATATCTCAGACGGGACCAAGGATCAGATGAGTATATCTCAGACGGGACCAAGGATCAGATGGGTATATCTCAGACGGGACCAAGGATCAGATGAGTATATCTCAGACGGGACCAAGGATCAGATGGGTATATCTCAGACGGGACCAAGGATCAGATGAGTATATCTCAGACGGGACCAAGGATCAGATGGGTATATCTCAGACGGGACCAAGGATCAGATGAGTATATCTCAGACGGGACCAAGGATCAGATGGGTATATCTCAGACGGGACCAAGGATCAGATGAGTATATCTCAGACGGGACCAAGGATCAGATGGGTATATCTCAGACGGGACCAAGGATCAGATGAGTATATCTCAGACGGGACCAAGGATCAGATGGGTATATCTCAGACGGGACCAAGGATCAGATGAGTATATCTCAGACGGGACCAAGGATCAGATGGGTATATCTCAGACGGGACCAAGGATCAGATGAGTATATCTCAGACGGGACCAAGGATCAGATGGGTATATCTCAGACGGGACCAAGGATCAGATGAGTATATCTCAGACGGGACCAAGGATCAGATGGGTATATCTCAGACGGGACCAAGGATCAGATGAGTATATCTCAGACGGGACCAAGGATCAGATGGGTATATCTCAGACGGGACCAAGGATCAGATGAGTATATCTCAGACGGGACCAAGGATCAGATGGGTATATCTCAGACGGGACCAAGGATCAGATGAGTATATCTCAGACGGGACCAAGGATCAGATGGGTATATCTCAGACGGGACCAAGGATCAGATGAGTATATCTCAGACGGGACCAAGGATCAGATGGGTATATCTCAGACGGGACCAAGGATCAGATGAGTATATCTCAGACGGGACCAAGGATCAGATGGGTATATCTCAGACGGGACCAAGGATCAGATGAGTATATCTCAGACGGGACCAAGGATCAGATGGGTATATCTCAGACGGGACCAAGGATCAGATGAGTATATCTCAGACGGGACCAAGGATCAGATGGGTATATCTCAGACGGGACCAAGGATCAGATGAGTATATCTCAGACGGGACCAAGGATCAGATGGGTATATCTCAGACGGGACCAAGGATCAGATGAGTATATCTCAGACGGGACCAAGGATCAGATGGGTATATCTCAGACGGGACCAAGGATCAGATGAGTATATCTCAGACGGGACCAAGGATCAGATGGGTATATCTCAGACGGGACCAAGGATCAGATGAGTATATCTCAGACGGGACCAAGGATCAGATGGGTATATCTCAGACGGGACCAAGGATCAGATGAGTATATCTCAGACGGGACCAAGGATCAGATGGGTATATCTCAGACGGGACCAAGGATCAGATGAGTATATCTCAGACGGGACCAAGGATCAGATGGGTATATCTCAGACGGGACCAAGGATCAGATGAGTATATCTCAGACGGGACCAAGGATCAGATGGGTATATCTCAGACGGGACCAAGGATCAGATGAGTATATCTCAGACGGGACCAAGGATCAGATGGGTATATCTCAGACGGGACCAAGGATCAGATGGGTATATCTCAGGCGGGACCGAGGATCAGATGGGTATATCTCAGACGGGACCGAGGATCAGATGGGTATATCTCAGACGGGACTAAGGATCAGACGGGTATATCTCAGACGGGACCAAGGATCAGATGGGTAGCCCCACTTTAAGGGTTTTTTAAACTCCCGGAGTTCTTATTTGAATTACCCACTGATGTTTCTCAGTAACTATGGTGGCGAGGAGCTCATGGTCCACCTCTCAGCTCCACCACCAGCAGTTTTACATAATGACATAGTAGGTACGGGTAAATAAAGACACGGGGACATCTAGTTCATCTTAGACGGACCTGTGTCTTTGTTTTACAGTACAGAGAATGCAGGAGGAGTATTGAGACTTATGGAGGAGGAAGGAGTGCAGATGTTGACCATCTTGATGGGAACACAATCTTGATCAGCCCGGGTAAACCTATAGTGGTTGAGCAACCTTACCTGAGCCACCTTGGTTAGGGAGCGCCAACCAGGCATGTGAAGGAACCTACAAACATTCCCCGATCCAATGATATGACTGTAACATGTAGGAAGAACCAAAAATCAAATGTATAACCACAAAGAGGTCAACCGAAAACTCATCCAACCGACACTGGAGCATCAGCGGTGGGTGGACTGACCACTGGAAGGATCGGAACATCTGCATTTGGCCTACTGGCTTCTGAACTTACAGCGACATGCCCACCCCTGGCTGCCACAGCTGCTACGGTGACAGTAAACATACAATGAAGGCTATAGGTGCATCTACATGCGGTAATCAGGTACATGCAAGGGGCTTCCCATCTCTATGGACCTTCTGGTGGGCCATATAACTGTCCTTCTGGGTGAAGCACTTCCCACATTCTGAACATACGAACGGTTTTTCATCTACATGGAGCTTCTGGTGGGCCACGTAGGCAGCTTTCTGAGTGAAGCACCTCCCACACTCCGCGCATTTGAAGGGCTTCTCGTCCGCGTGGATCAACTGATGCCTGACGAGGTAGACTTTGGCACTGAAACATTTACCGCACTCCGAGCAGCCGAAAGGTTTCTCCCCCGTGTGGATTCTTTGATGGACGACGCAACTGGCCTTCTGAGTGAAGCACTTGCCGCAGTGGGTGCAGACAAATGGTTTCTCGCCGGTGTGGACCCGTTGGTGAGCCACAAAGGAGGCCTTCTGGGTGAAGCATTTACTACACTCGGAACATTTAAAAGGTTTCTCGTCTGTGTGGATTCTATAGTGGGCGTTATAGCTGGCCTTCTGCGTGAAGCATTTGCCACACTCTGAACATTTGTAGGGCTTGATGTCGGTGTGAATCAACTGATGTCGTACCAGGTAGACCTTGGAGCTGAAGTGCTTGCTGCACTGGGAGCACTCATAAGGCTTTTCGCCGGTATGAATTCGCTGGTGGACAATGCAGCTGGCCTTCTGCGTGAAGCATTTGCCGCAGTGTGTACACACAAAAGGCTTTTCCCCCGTGTGAATTCTCTGGTGCGCCACATAGCCAGCTTTTTGCGTGAAGCACTTGCCGCACTCTGCACACTCAAAGGGCTTCTGGCCCGTGTGGATGATCTGGTGGCGTACCAGGTAGATCTTGGAGGTGAAACATTTTCCACACTCCGGACAAAGGAACGGCTTCTGGTCAGTGTGGATGCGCCGGTGAACTATAAGGTTGGAGGCACTGGTGAAACATTTCCCACACTGGGAACACACAAAGGGCTTTTCCCCGGTATGGGTCCTCTGGTGGGACGCAAAGCTTGCTTTCTGAGTGAAACATTTCCCACACACCGAACAGGCATAAGGCTTCTCTCCGGTGTGAATCCGCTGATGTATTATGCGGTTGGCAGCATTGGTGAAACGCTTCCCACAATCCGAACAGGGAAAGGGTTTCTCTCCTGTGTGAGTCCGTTGGTGTTCATCAAAGCTTTTCTTCAGTCGAAAACTTTTCCCACACACTGCACATTCGAAAGGCCGTTCACCCGTGTGAATCCTCTGGTGTACAACGCAGCTGGCCTTCTGTGTGAACCGTTTGCCACACTGCGTACAAACGAATGGCTTCTCCCCCGTGTGAATGCGCTCGTGTGCCAGGTAGCTTGCCTTCTGCGAGAAGCATTTCCCACACTGTCTGCACACAAAGGGCTTCTCACCAGTGTGAACTCGCTGGTGTGTGATGAAGCTGGCCTTCTGGGAAAAGCATTTGCCACACTCGGTGCACTCAAAGGGCTTTTCTCCTGTATGTATCCTATAGTGGGCCAGGTAATTGGCCTTCTGGGCAAAGCCACGCCCACATTCATCACACTTAAAAGGTTTTTCCTCTGTGTGAATCCTCTGATGGGCTAGGTAACCTCCTTTCTGGGTGAAGCACTTGCCACACTTGCCGCACTGGAACGGCTTCTCTCCGCGATGAATTAGTTGGTGCCTCACCAGGTAGATCTTTGAGCTAAAACACTTTCCACACTCGAGGCAGCCGAAGGGTTTTTCTCCGGTGTGAATCCTCTGGTGGACGATGCAACTTGCCTTCTGGGCAAAACGCTTGCCACACTGCGAGCAGATGAAGGGCTTTTCCCCGGTGTGAATTCTCTGATGGACGATGCAGCTGGCCTTCTGAGCAAAACACTTTCCGCAGTGGGAGCAGATGTAGGGTTTCTCCCCTGTGTGAATCCGCTCATGAGCCAGGTAGCTGGCCTTTTGCGTAAAACATTTTCCGCACAGCGTACACATGAAGGGTTTTTCCCCAGAGTGGATTCGCTGGTGCGTGAGGTAACTAGCCTTCTGGGTAAAACATTTTCCACACAAAGTACACAAGAAAGGCTTTTCCCCCGTGTGGATCCGTTGGTGAGCCAGAAAGCTGGCCTTCTGTGTGAAACACTTCCCGCACTCTTCACACTTGAAAGGTTTCTCCTCGTTGTGTATCCTCTGATGCGCATTAAAGCTGGCCTTCTGTGTGAAGCATTTCCCGCAATCATAACAAGCAAAGGGTCTTTCGCTGGTGTGGACCATTCGATGCCTCACCAGGTAGATTTTTGAGCTGAAGCATTTGCCACAATCTGGGCAATCAAAGGGTTTTTCACCCGTGTGAATCCGTTGGTGCACAATGCAGCTGGCCTTTTGAGAAAAACATTTGCCGCAGTGGGTGCAGACGAAGGGTTTTTCGCCTGTGTGAATACGCTGGTGGGCCAGGTAGCTAGCCTTCTGCGTGAAGCACTTACCGCAGTGGGAACAGGCAAAGGGCTTCTCGCCCGTGTGGACCAGACGGTGCCGAACCAAGTAGATCTTAGAGCTGAAGCTTTTCCCACACTCAAAGCAAACAAAAGGCTTTTCACCTGTGTGTATTCTCTGGTGGACTATACAGCTAGCTTTTTGGGTGAAGCGTTTGCCGCACTGGAAGCAGACAAAGGGTTTTTCCCCGGTGTGAATCCTCTGGTGGGCGAGGTAACTGGCTTTTTGGGTAAAGCATTTTCCACACTGAGAGCAGACAAAAGGCTTCTCCCCCGTGTGAATCCTCTGGTGAACCACCAGGTTGCCTGCGCTGCTGAAACACTTCCCGCAATCGGAGCAGGGAAACGGCTTTTCACTCTCATGGTTCCTCAAATGTCTGGTGAGATGGAGGCGCGTGATAAAGCATTTTCCACACTCGGGACAGACAAAGGGCTTTTGGTCCATATGAATTTTCCGGTGAACGATGAGGTCCGAGGCACTTGCAAAACATTTGCCGCATTCGGCACAGGAAAACGCGCTCTGCCTTTTGTGAAGCTTCTGGTGCTTAATAAACCCTAACTTGGAGGTGAAGACGTGACCACACACAGGGCACACAAACTGCTTCTGGTTTTTGCGAATCTCCTCATCTTGGAAAAGCTCCGACTCGTAACTGAACGGATGTCCACCACCAAAGCAAGACAACAGGCTCTCCTCTTTGAGGATGTTGGTGCCCACCGCTGGCAACTTCAAGGGTTTCTCCTGGTGGATGGCTCTTTGGTTATAATGGGACGATGAATATTCTGGCCAGGCGTCCAGTCTTTGTGTGGAGATGTGAAATGGGAAGATGCCGTTCGGCTTCTCCAACTTTATTCGAAAGGGGGTCCCCGATGTCATACTTCTAGTGATCCTGGTGGTGTAATAATCGGGGTGGACCAAGCCATCTTCTGAGATCCAGTCTAGTGGGAGAATCGGGAGATCGCTAAGGTCTGAGAGGGTCATGTTGAAGGCCGCATCTGCAAAATAGGAAAAGACCAAAGCATAAGAGTAGAGAAGGAAGCCATTGGTCATGTTCTCATGGCACCCTCTGCTCATCCCACCACACCTTCTCATGGCACCCTCTACTTACCCCACCCACCTTCTCATGGCACCCTCTGCTCATCCCCCCACACGTTCTAATGGCACACTCTGCTCATCCCACCACACCTTCTCATGGCACCCTCTACTTACCCCACCCACCTTCTCATGGCACCCTCTGCTCATCCCCCCACACGTTCTAATGGCACACTCTGCTCATCCCACCACACCTTCTCATGGCACCCTCTACTTACCCCACCCACCTTCTCATGGCACCCTCTGCTCATCCCCCCACACGTTCTAATGGCACACTCTGCTCATCCCACCACACCTTCTCATGGCACCCTCTACTTACCCCACCCACCTTCTCATGGCACCCTCTGCTCATCCCCCCACACGTTCTAATGGCACACTCTGCTCATCCCACCACACCTTCTCATGGCACCCTCTACTTACCCCACCCACCTTCTCATGGCACCCTCTGCTCATCCCCCCACACGTTCTAATGGCACACTCTGCTCATCCCACCACACCTTCTCATGGCACCCTCTACTTACCCCACCCACCTTCTCATGGCACCCTCTGCTCATCCCCCCACACGTTCTAATGGCACACTCTGCTCATCCCACCACACCTTCTCATGGCACCCTCTACTTACCCCACCCACCTTCTCATGGCACCCTCTGCTCATCCCCCCACACGTTCTAATGGCACACTCTGCTCATCCCACCACACCTTCTCATGGCACCCTCTACTTACCCCACCCACCTTCTCATGGCACCCTCTGCTCATCCCCCCACACGTTCTAATGGCACACTCTGCTCATCCCACCACACCTTCTCATGGCACCCTCTACTTACCCCACCCACCTTCTCATGGCACCCTCTGCTCATCCCCCCACACGTTCTAATGGCACACTCTGCTCATCCCACCACACCTTCTCATGGCACCCTCTACTTACCCCACCCACCTTCTCATGGCACCCTCTGCTCATCCCCCCACACGTTCTAATGGCACACTCTGCTCATCCCACCACACCTTCTCATGGCACCCTCTACTTACCCCACCCACCTTCTCATGGCACCCTCTGCTCATCCCCCCACACGTTCTAATGGCACACTCTGCTCATCCCACCACACCTTCTCATGGCACCCTCTACTTACCCCACCCACCTTCTCATGGCACCCTCTGCTCATCCCCCCACACGTTCTAATGGCACACTCTGCTCATCCCACCACACCTTCTCATGGCACCCTCTACTTACCCCACCCACCTTCTCATGGCACCCTCTGCTCATCCCACCACACGTAATCATGGCACCCTCTGCTTACCCCACTCCCCTTCTCATGGCACCCTCTGCTCATCCCACCACACCTTCTCATGGAACCCTCTACTCATCCCACCACACCTTCTCATTGCACCATCTGCTCATCCCACCACACCTTCTCATGGCACCATCTGCTCATCCCACCACACCTTCTCATGGCACCCTCTGCTCATCCCACCACACCTTATCATGGCACCATCTGCTCATCCCACCACACCTTATCATGGCACCCTCTGTTCATCCCACCACACCTTATCATGGCACCCTCTGTTCATCCCACCACACCTTATCATGGCACCCTCTGTTCATCCCACCACACTTTCTCATGGCACCCATTGTTCACCAAACCCCACCTTCTCTTGGCACTCTCTGCTCAACCCACCTTCTCATGGCACCCTCTACTTACCCCACCCACTTTCTCATGGCACCGTCTACTTACCCCACCCTAACTTCTCATGGCACTTTCATCTCACCCCAAACCATCTTCTCATGTCACCTTCTGCTCACCCCAACCCACCTTCTCAAACAAGCTCAGCTCACCCCACCTTCTCATGGCACTTTCTGCTCACCCAACCCCCTTCTCATATTTCTTCAACATCTCCGAGTCCTCCCAAGCTGCGGAAAATCTGCTTTCATGGGGACTTCAAAATCCCCCATCCACAGCCACCGCGGTGCCTTGCAAAGACATGCAACACCAATATCAAACACGCTCACCCCATCTTCTCATGGCATCCTCTGCTCAACCAACCCCACCTTCTCATGGCACTCTCTGATCACTCCACCTCGCCTTCTCATGGCACTCTGATCACTCCACCTCGCCTTCTCATGGAACTCTAATCACTCCACCTCGCCTTCTCATGGTACCCTCTGATCACTCCACCCCGCCTTCTCATGGAACCCTCTGATCACTCCACCCTGCCTTCTCATGGAACCCTCTGATTACTCCACCCCGCCTTCTCATGGAACCCTCTGCTCACTCCACCCCACCTTCTTATAGTGCCCTCTGCTCACTGCACCCCACCTTCTTATGGTACCCCCCGATCACTCCACCCCACCTTCTCATGGAACCCTCTGATCACTCTATCCCACCTTCTCATGGAACCCTCTGATTACTCCACCCCGCCTTCTCATGGAACCCTCTGATTACTCCACCCCGCCTTCTCATGGAACCCTCTGCTCACTCCAACCCACCTTCTTATAGTGCCCTCTGATCACTCCACCCCACCTTCTCATGGAACCCTCTGATCACTCTATCCCACCTTCTCACGGCAACCTTTGCTCACCCCACCCCGCCTTCTCATGGTACCCTCTGATCACTCCACCCCACCTTCTTATGGTGCCATCTGATCACTCCACCCTACCTTCTCATGGAACACTCTGCTCACCCCAGCTTCTCATGGAACCCTCTGCTCACCCCACTCCACCTTCTCATGGTACCCTATCACTCCACCCCACCTTCTCATGGAACCCTCTGATCACTCTATCCCACCTTCTCATGGAACCCTCTGATTACTCCACCCCGCCTTCTCATGGAACCCTCTGATTACTCCACCCCGCCTTCTCATGGAACCCTCTGCTCACTCCAACCCACCTTCTTATAGTGCCCTCTGATCACTCCACCCCACCTTCTCATGGAACCCTCTGATCACTCTATCCCACCTTCTCACGGCAACCTTTGCTCACCCCACCCCGCCTTCTCATGGTACCCTCTGATCACTCCACCCCACCTTCTTATGGTGCCATCTGATCACTCCACCCTACCTTCTCATGGAACCCTCTGCTCACCCCAGCTTCTCATGGAACCCTCTGCTCACCCCACTCCACCTTCTCATGGTACCCTCTGATCACTCCACCCCACCTTCTCATGCAACCTTTGCTCACCCCACCCCGCCTTCTCATGGAACTCTCTGCTCACCCCCACCTTCTCATGGCACCTCCTGCTCACACCACCCAACCTTCTCATGGAACCCTCTCCTCACCCCACCTTTTCATGGCACCCTTTGCCCATCCCTCCCCACTTTCTTATGGTACCTTCTGATCACTCCACCCCACCTTCTCATGGCAACCTTTGCTCACCCCACCTTCTCATGGAACCCTCTGCTCACCCACCCCCACCTTTTTATGGCATCCTCTCCTCACCCCACCTTTTCATGGCACCCTTTGCTCATCCCTCCCCACTTTCTCAATGCACTCTCTGCTGAGAACCCTGCCACTCCAATACCTGCTGCTGCCCTACCAAGTGAACAGATATTAGCTGTCTAGTGAATCTGCTTTTGTGTTTGTAAAGAACTTTGTATGTTTGCAGCTTCCGGCGGAGTCACTGGAAGACATGATTTCCTGATATCTAGGGAGCCTGAGCATATAGATGGATGGAGTCATCATAGACTGAATGTTTCCATGCATTTTATCTATAAACCCCGATTCTTATTCTAACACAGAAAGAAGGAAGGATGGGTGGAACACAAGTGATCGTAGTATGGAGATGTGATAATGCTCTATGCTAAAGTGCATCATTGCTGGTTATGGACTATCTACTGTTACTGTGATCACCACAGCTGGCAGCACACAGGACTCCCCCACACCTGGCAGCACGCAGGACTCCACCACACCTGGCAGCACGCAGGACTCCACCACACCTGGCAGCACGCAGGACTCCACCACACCTGGCAGCACGCAGGACTCCACCACACCTGGCAGCACGCAGGACTCCACCACACCTGGCAGCACGCAGGACTCCACCACACCTGGCAGCACGCAGGACTCCACCACACCTGGCAGCACGCAGGACTCCACCACACCTGGCAGCACGCAGGACTCCACCACACCTGGCAGCACGCAGGACTCCACCACACCTGGCAGCACGCAGGACTCCACCACACCTGGCAGCACGCAGGACTCCACCACACCTGGCAGCACGCAGGACTCCACCACACCTGGCAGCACGCAGGACTCCACCACACCTGGCAGCACGCAGGACTCCACCACACCTGGCAGCACGCAGGACTCCACCACACCTGGCAGCACGCAGGACTCCACCACACCTGGCAGCACGCAGGACTCCACCACACCTGGCAGCACGCAGGACTCCACCACACCTGGCAGCACGCAGGACTCCACCACACCTGGCAGCACGCAGGACTCCACCACACCTGGCAGCACGCAGGACTCCACCACACCTGGCAGCACGCAGGACTCCACCACACCTGGCAGCACGCAGGACTCCACCACACCTGGCAGCACGCAGGACTCCACCACACCTGGCAGCACGCAGGACTCCACCACACCTGGCAGCACGCAGGACTCCACCACACCTGGCAGCACGCAGGACTCCACCACACCTGGCAGCACGCAGGACTCCACCACACCTGGCAGCACGCAGGACTCCACCACACCTGGCAGCACGCAGGACTCCACCACACCTGGCAGCACGCAGGACTCCACCACACCTGGCAGCACGCAGGACTCCACCACACCTGGCAGCACGCAGGACTCCACCACACCTGGCAGCACGCAGGACTCCACCACACCTGGCAGCACGCAGGACTCCACCACACCTGGCAGCACGCAGGACTCCACCACACCTGGCAGCACGCAGGACTCCACCACACCTGG